AAGGCTAAATCTGGTCCCTGTTGCTCCATTTGACGAGAAGTGGAAAAACCGTTAGGAAGGAGCAGGCAGACAGTCCTCTGACTAACACACAGAGCTGGGGAACAGCTCGTGTTCCCAATAGCCAGAGCAGAAACTGTTACCTGGGGCATCAGGAAGAGTCCTCGGCAGGGGATTGCCTCAGTAGTGGGGCCAGGTTAGCCCTGGGACAGGGCTGCTTTGGCACCACCTAATAAAGCTAAAAAAGATCCCACTTTTCCCAAGTAAATTAACTGCATCCCAGAACAAAACTCAAAACCTTTCAAATGATTTAAATGAAAATAAAATTCACAGTGTCTGACATCCAGTCAAGTTTTACCAGGCATACCAAGAAGGCGGAAAATTTTACTCACAGTGAAGAGAAAAACCAGTCAATAGAAGCAGACCCAGAAATGACCCAGGTGATAGAATTAAACAAGGACTTAAAACAGCTATTAGAAAAACACACCACATATTCATGAAAGTAGAAGAAAACATATGAGCATGTTGAGGAAAGATATGAAGAATTTAAAATGGGAATGTAATAGCCAGTGACCGAACTGGGGAAGTGGACGGGTGCTGCTTCTACCAGGGTGGGCAGGATCCTCTCTAAGGAGGTAATATGTGAGCTTACACCTACCTAGCCCTGGGAGGAACATTTCAGGCAGAGAAAATGACTAGTAGCACAAAGTCCCTGAGGTAGAACAGTCTTGTCACTTTGTAAGAGCAGATAAAGGCTGAGGTGGCTAAAGCACAAGGGGCAGGAAGACTCGTGTAACATGAGCTCTAGCAGCAGGTAGGGCCTTGTGGGCTATGACGAGGAGCTGGATGACTTCTAAGTGTACTGGGAAACCTCAGAGGTTTGAAGCAGCGTAATGATAAGGTCCCTTTGATGTCTTTAAAATATCACTTTGATTGCTTTGAGGAAGAGAGGCTGTGGGGAGCCATGAGTGGAAGCTGAAAAGAGGTCTTGGAAAATTCTTTATGCTATGAGAGCTTCAGCGCCATAGGGAGAATTATGTGAGAATTTTCATTTATGCCTTACAGTGAGTGACCATAACTTTATCGCTGCGTGAATATATTAAATCCTGAAAGGTTGAAGGTTTTATAAACCCTCTGTCGGTCCTCTGACTTTTGGTTAACTTAGAAGTTACTCAATAATGCAGCCCTACTCCCATCTCAATAATCAGTAACTCAAAGGATCATTTATGTAATTTCGCAGTTCATTAGCTAGGGAGGTGCTAAAATTCTTGACAGCTGGGAGTTTCTTTCTTTCTTTTTTTTTTTTTTTTAATTCTTGGACAAGTCCAGAGAATTCTTTGAAGTGCTGCAATGAATTACTGCACAGTAGTACTGCTTAAGCGAGTTAAAGTTCTACAGTTGTGTTTGAGCTAAGTCTAAGTCCTACATTTACTTCTCTGTATCTTGCGAGAGTCTCCTCCAAGGTACTGACGGACACTCACATGTGTATTGTGAGGGCTGCTTTGCTTTGGTTTTGTATTTTTTGTACATGTAACCAATGGAGTAACTTGTAAGTTACATAAACTCAGTCATGGTGACTATTCCTCTAGGAACTAAAGTCTGCAATTGCTCGCTTGCAGGGTTTTCCTCCAGTTTATTCAACAGTTATTGAGTAGCTCGGGCAGCTGGCACGGTAGTTACAGAAGTGAAGCAGAACATGCAGATCCTACCCCATAGAGANTAACCAATGGAGTAACTTGTAAGTTACATAAACTCAGTCATGGTGACTATTCCTCTAGGAACTAAAGTCTGCAATTGCTCGCTTGCAGGGTTTTCCTCCAGTTTATTCAACAGTTATTGAGTAGCTCGGGCAGCTGGCACGGTAGTTACAGAAGTGAAGCAGAACATGCAGATCCTACCCCATAGAGATTGGGCTTGGTGGTGGGGTTGGGGGGAGGTGGGGGGTGTCTGGTTTGGTGTCATGTTGGCCAAAATTAGTTTATTTGCTCCAGGGGGATCATGATACCATGATTTTTTTTTTCTAATATCGTCTTTCACCAAACATGGTACTGATGATAATGAAAATATTGCCAACAGAACTGAAGCAGAACAGAGTGACTTTTAACTGTGTCACCTTCATTTCCTTCCCTGTCATGTCCTCTGTTTTTGTAACTTGGTAGAAACTTGGTGAGTACGTGAAATATCATGATTCCTCAGGCTTGCTCGGCAAATTAATGGCATCCGTATTCCTATTCACTTGAATCTAAAATGTGCTCTTTCAGATTCAGATACTTCTGTTGATCAGAATATCAGATTTTCATGATAAATAACTTCCCTATTTACTTTTCTTCATAATATCTTGGCCATAAGGTTTGAAAAAGAGATTTGTGTTTTCTTCATAAATTGCAGGGTGGTTTTTAAGATTTTGATGTAGTTAGTTAAAGTAATATGTAAAAATAAGTTGCCACTTACATATCCAGAACCCACAGTATGTAAATCAAGTGTAAAAACCATTAGGGGTTGACTCTTCCCCCATGTGTTAGGTTTTTACAACATTCTGTGCTCAGGAGAAATCTGAGGTCTTTTTCTGCCCTCTGCCTGGCCTGAACCACTTCATCCTTCAAGATCCAGTGAAAATTCGGCCTCTTCCATGAAGCTTTACCCTTCTCAAATTCATAATTCCTCCCTATCAGATATCTTTGGCATTTTCAGCCTCTCACATAATTTAATAATTTTTTCTTCAGTAAGATTTGACGTTGAGGTCAGGACAATGGCTGTCATGCCGTTGGACCCACTGGTGGGGCCTCAGTAAATTGTTTTGCTCTGAGCC